CCTCTCTCATCCTTTTAAGTCGGAGAACTTGCACAATTGGTGGCTGACTAAATACTTTTTTGCCCCACTGTATATCATCCTTAAGGGCCATACAGCCTTTTCAAATTGGCTTACATGCAAAATAAAGATAAACAGAAATATAAAATGAGTATCAATATCTCCAGAATTCCACAAAGCTATCTAAAATCAGCAATAAAATAATAGAATTAAAAATTCTATTTAAAAATCAGTTAGAAACCCTAACCATTCAAATTAACCTGCTTAAAAGCAGATGTGAACAGTTGTTTTTTGACACACTTTCTAATATGCCAACAATGAGTTCCAGCATGATGCAGCTCCCACCAAAAAGTGGGTGCCACCAAATTAATGGGCCCTGTTGGTGGGCTTAAGACCAGAGCCAACCCTCACACTAGCTCATATGATTTGGCCATTACCTTGCCTCTTGGGCACTAATTCCTAGCTATATCTTCTTCCTATGTAACAACACCTCATTCAAAATGGAATCATTGCATTTCAGCCTCTAGGAGATACACAAAAAGAGTTTGTGGCTCTCTTGGCAGGAATCAGTGATTTTATAGGTCTTGCAGAGGAATAGGAGACTCAGGGTGGGTGTGCTTCCTGTGTAACCTGTAAGCCCCCCACCCCCCAGTACCACCGGCATTGCTGAAGCTAAATTAAGCATGCCTGATCTCTGGATGGAAGTTCATTGGGGACCCTATGCAGGAATGGAATACCCAGTATTGATTGAGAAATATTGCTAGCCTACATTTGAAAGTAGACAGAAGAAATAGATCAGCTAGGAGGAGTTGGCTAACTTCTATATTGAATATAGAATTACCAAAATAATTTTCACAAATCTGAAATGTGAAATTTTCAACATTAAACTTGATTCTTAAAAACTTGTTATATTTGCTTAGGTATCATATTTTCGCTGGGGCAGTTTTCATACCCTCTTAGCAAGGGTTGAAAATCGTATCTTTGCATTATTTTCTCTAATTGTGTGCTAATTGTTCAAGAAACAAACCTTGTGGCTAACTTTGCATTGTAAGCAGCTGAGCTGTCATAACAAAGAAAGAAAAGGGGATCATTCAAATTAACGCAGTTCTTGGTTCTCTCAGGCAATTAATATGGCTGGAAGTCCTGGAAAAAATTTGCCCCACCCTGTTTCAGAGAATGCTGGAGAGACGACCAGTCCAACTACGCCCCGACCAGAGACTCCAGTTGATTCCATCCTGAAGGACTTTGCCACTGTTATCTTAAGCACTTTCCTGCTTGTTGGCTGGGTAGCTTTTGTTATCACATATCCCATGGTATGTGTGTAGTAATCATTTTAAACCAATATCAGTATTTGAATTAATTTTATGAACTCTTAAACCAGGAATGTCTTCATAATATAACAACAGTGAATGGTTGGGCATGGATAAGGAGGTACAGAAACGTTCAGTTTTTTGACAAAGAGCCTCTTAGAAGTCCCAGGTCCATCAATTTCTGCTTTCTAAGTGAAAAGTAAAATAAATATTTTTTAATACAAAAATATAGTTTGGATTAAATTACCAAGAATTTTCTACATAGTTGAGAACACATGAAACCAGACTTCAGTGGAGTTGGGTGCTCTGGTGTGAAAATTAAAGCCAACAATGATATTGTAGTTAACCATTACATAGGATATCTCTGTATCTGAAAATTTTGTACTGTTGAGCTTTTTTACAAAAGCTTTCCTCAACCAAGTGTCTCCCAATCTCTTGGTATTACAGTTCCCAGAATTCCCAGCCAGCATCTGGGAAAGCACTGGCTGAGGAAGACAGGTTTACATTGAGATTGATGAATAAATATAGAATAAATGTATGCTCTTTTCCTTCTGGATCCTTTAGATTTGTTCAGTTTACATCCTATCTTTTTACTAATAGAAACAGAGAGCTGGTTACAAAGCAGTACATTACAATATAGACAGTAAAACTTTGTAGATCTGTTGGCAAAGACAAAAAGCATAAAAAGCAGATTGAAGCTGCACCGACACAATTTATCATTGTCTTGATCAGAAACTTTTGCTTTCAATTTCAGTTATCCCAGCACAGTATCACACCATACCCTTAACCACTGGAAGATCACCTTTGGGTGGCCAGTGCTGCATTTAATAACTGGTGGAGAGGCTAAGGGCTGCATTTGGTCAGGAAAATAATTGTTGCATTGGGGAGGTCCACACGATGTACTAGGTGGGGCTGCAATTTTTGGTTTAGGGGACTGTTTGTAGAGATTGATCTGTTTTTCAGACTAAATTAAGTCTGTTTTACCACTAACATCCAGCTTTCATGTGTTTCTTGCTTCCAAACTGCAAGGGCTGTGTAAACCATATTCAGCAAGAGTTATAAGAACTTTCTGAGATTTCAGGAAAAGGAACTGGAAGATGCAGATTGCATCTCTGTCCTAACCCTTAACTAATCTTAAATCTAGGTGTCTTCATAATGCATAATTCAAAGTTGGCTTGTTTAAACTAAGCTATACTTAATATTAACTACATATGGAATTGAAAGCATGATGGGGAGGTAAGGAAAGGGAGGTCCCTATGAGGTCAATTAAGCTCATACATGTTGCTTAAGATTATTTTTTTCCTTTTAAGAGCATGCACCATCAGCAACAACGTCAGCATCAGCAGTTCCAGAAACAGATAGAAGAAAAGCTACAGTTGTTGAAGCAGCAGCCCTTCACACCTGCCATAGATCTTCCTCCCGAGGCAGAACTTCTGGATGGCTCTTGTGTCAGGCAAGATGGCTCAGCCACCAGTTCACCAAACATGTCGCCGAAGACATCAAACCACTCTGCGTATTCCAACATCTCTGCCTCTGATGTTGGAAGCTGCCTTTCCACTGAACCAGAAGGAGGTGATAAAACTCAACTAAGTAGGACTACGATTTAATGATATTTCCTTTCAGACCAAATGAGTCAGAATTGGGGGGTTGGGCACTGCATCTTTGCTATTTCTAAGTTCAAGTTTATATTAGTTGATCTAATCTGATTTTGAACATTGGATGCAAATCTCATACAACTGCACATTAAACCAAGTCTGCTTTCTCTAAAATGTAATTTAAATAGTTTTTGAGCACTTTTAGGCTGTTATTGTATTATTTGGATCTCCAAAATCATAGACACTTGTTTTCTGGTTTAGCCTTTGGCAGCAAGTAGGAAGGGGGTCATATTGGAGTGAGACAAAGGAAAAGAACTATGCTCCATGTACCTTCATTGTACAGACGGTATCTTCCGGTATGTCCTTGGATAGCATTAGGAATTGGAAATGGAATTGTTACATCATGTTTTCATGGTTTTTCAGATGGAAACTCAGGCACCATTGTGGTTGGAAAGATTTCATTCAATCCAAAGGATGTTCTCGGACATGGAGCTGAGGGAACAATTGTTTACAGGTAAAGCAGAAGACATATTTTCAGGGACTGGAAATATTTCATAATCCAGTGTTTCATTGATGCATTTATAATAAATTAATATAACTAGACAGCTGTCCATGCAGTTCTGTATATTGTTGAGGGAGAACAGCCTTTCTTACGTTCACCTTCATAGCATAAAATCCATGTTGATCTGGCTTTCTACTAATTGTGTGAACAGAGCCCTTTAGTCCATCAAGTGCAGTTCAGTGTAAGAACCTAAATTAAAGCATCCCTGACAGATGGCTGAGTAACCTCCACATGAACAGACCCTGTACACCATCACCTTTCTGGGTTATTGATTCCACTGTCAAGCTGTTTTTCCTAATATTCAGTCAGAATCTACCTTCCTGTAACTTAAATCCATTTTCATGTTGTACATTCTGGAATGATGGAACACAGGTCCTGATCTTTTTTCATGTTGCCCCTTCAGGTACTTGAAAAGTGCTACTATATCCCCCCTCAGTTATCTTTTCTCAAGACTAAACATCCCGATTCCTTCAATCTCTGTTCTTAAGCACTTAGTTTCTAGTTCCCTGACTATCCTTATTGTCTTTCTCTGAACCTGTTCCAGTTCCTAAAGTCTGGTGTTAAGAACAGGTCATGGTTCTCAAGATGAGATCTGACTAATGCAGAGTAAAGTGGAATGATTATTTGTCCTGACCTGGAAACTATACATTTATTGGTGCTGCCTAAAATTACCTTGGTCAGTTTCTGCTACATAGTGGAGCATTTCTACGTACCTTTGTCTGGCACTAAAAGTTATTTTTTCATAAGCTTCTGAGGCCCTTTCCAGACACCAGGGCTACGTGGATCCACACACAGTGCCAGCTGTACAACCCTGTGGATCTTCTAGAGCTCTTTGACAGCCAAGCTGAATAACTTCCAGCCTGGCCACTGCTCCAGAGAGTTTTGCAGAATTTCCTCTGGAGCTGCTGAGCAGGCAGTTTCTCTGGCAGGAACTCCTTGCCTTGCCTCCCTACTCCTCAGAGTTTTCCTTCCTCCCCTTCTTGTGCCTTCTCTCTGTCCTTCCTGATTGCTCCGAGGTATGCTTAAATGTTAAGTCATTGCCCTGTTGGACATTGGAATATTTACAGGGGCACGTTTGACAACAGAGATGTTGCTGTGAAGAGAATTCTCCCTGAATGTTTCAGCTTTGCTGACCGGGAGGTCCAGCTGCTGCGTGAATCTGACGAACACCCTAATGTAATCCGCTATTTCTGCACAGAGAGGGACCGTCAGTTCCAGTATATTGCTCTGGAACTCTGTGCTGCCACTTTACAAGAGGTAAGCCTGAATTTTTATTATTTATTTATTTATTTATTTATACACACACACACACACACACACACACACAC